AGCTTATAGTCAGTCAGTTCGAAGCTGTCATCTTTTTTCACAACAATCAGCCACTTTTTTAAAAGTTTTCGATCTTTCGGAAACCTAAAATCAGATATAATAAATATTGATCACATAGTATTGCAATAACCAATTGTTATTAATTATAACTATCTACGTATTCGATTTTAATAAGATAATGAAGAAAACTTACTGATGAAAAGATACACCTTCTGAACGAAATCGTTGACAATTTTTACAGTGAGAAACTGTACAAGACATGTTTGTTGTCAATAATAATGTCCTTTAACACTAACAAGCACGTTCACACGTACACTAACGGTAAAACAAATTAAGTAATAATTTTAACTCCAAATTACAACTGGTTCAACAACGTCGTAACCTCGTAGGTAAACAAAACTTTAAGGTTAACTGATAAAATGGCGGCCCCCATAGTGTACCGATGCGCAGAAGTCGAAGCTCATTCTCCTTCTCCATATCTCTGGTTTCGTCCTATACTAAATACATTGAAAACATCGTCGTGGTTTCCGGAGTTGCATTTTAAAAATAGGGGATATATCGCTTTAAGAAAAATATATTTCGAATTAACAAACTTCAGTCCAAAGGACCTTCATATTTATATTCATATCTAGTTCGCGGTTTTTACAAAAAAAAATATATATAAAGTTGACCAACTTTTACACCAGACTTTAACCGGTACATTGATGCATTTTTTGACGAAGTCCTGAAGTGATTTGCATTCTGAGATAGGAGGTCCCCTGGGGAAAAGTGTCAGCTTTCTTTTGATATCATTTATAATACTAAAAAATTCACGACTGAGGTAAATAACTCTCGAAAAGACAGAATCTGTTGAAACGAGAAATCGCCATTAAACGAGCTATGATGCCGTAGCAGAATACAGGTTTACTTATAGATTCTGGTTTGGTTACAGACTTAATTTAGTGTGGACCTTGTCCACCAGGGGGAGCTGTTTTTAATCAGTGGTTTATCGGAATAAAATATTGATAGCAGCATTTCCGATTCTACAATACCATTTCGGTTTCATTGATGCCGTTTGAATACTGGTTTTTAGGAGTGACAAAATAACGCATCCGTCTTTTTTACTAAAACAGTAAAAAAGACATACGTTATGTTAATTATTAAGTATATTTCATTTAAGAGATCAAAAGTTATTTACAATCCTCCGCAGCTGAGGTTAATAATCTGTTTTACATTAATTATTTTTTATCCTCTATGAAAAAATAAAAGTAAAACGTGTTTTATTATATATACTCTGAAACGTCATTGAGTTGTTTGTGAAGATGAAAGAAGTAAAACTATGTCAAAGTTTTGTAATCATAAATCAACCTACGTCGATATAGGTATGATTAAAAAGAGATGAATTGTAGAAAAGCATATTATTTTCTGTAGGACAGTAACAGAACAAATCGGTTTAGCGACTTGCTATCCAGACTGTAATATTCAGTATAATTTCACAGCACACATTTGTCAAACGGAACCTATGCAATATTAATATTTGTAAATGCTGCTTATTTTAATTATATATTACTAATCTCTCCAAAAAATTGGGCATACAGACAACCAACAAAATTTAAACAGCTCTAAAATTTAAGGTATTTTACGTGCATTTCAAACAATTAGATTCATAGGATTCTACCATTTCTACCAGCCAGATGTAAGCAACCACCTCCAATAAATTTAACAACTTTGGTTTGTCACCGGAAGTAGCACTGGGTCTGTGGACTGAAATTATCCCTTGTACATGCTTTCGACTCCATTGAGTAACAATTGTTTTCAGAATTTAAAATTACGTTCAAGATGTTGTTCAAGCCTAAAATTTACAATTAAATCTTTCCGAAACACTATGACAAATATGTAGTGAACAAAAAATATTTACACCCTATACAAAAAAAAAAAAAAATGAGGTTTACGATGCGCAAGCATAACTTAATTAAAAGTGCAAGTCAAAGTTAATATGCATAAAAAATAGCAGCTGCTTCTATTAAAAATTTATAATTAATTATTTAAATCCTTACAAAACGATATACTAACAAGCAGTTTAAGCAAAGTCAAATTTTGAAATAAACTGCCTTCTGCCATGCAGTTAGCCGCCAAAATAATTAACATGAATATTTTAGTAGTTACATAAAAACCACCGTTGAATGCTTAGAATTACTTGCATAAAACTTACTAATGATTTGCGCTGAAAAAAGTAAAACATTTTGCTATGTGCCTAATGGCTTCACGGACACGTTATTATTTTACTAACGTTCATCACTGCCGCGATATTAAAAAAAACAACAACACAAAACATGTTCAAACGATTGCGGCTAATAATTTTAACATTTTATTGTTATTTACTTGGTAAATATATTTTTATTTTTATTATTATTGCTTTTGTTGCAAACGATAAAGTAAATAACAAAACCAAACTCCTAAATATTATTTATTTGCGAAAGTTTAAGAAAAATTTTCCGCCAAAAATATTGTAATTGTAATGAATGGGCATGTCCGGCCAGTGCAGATAGTAGGAAATAATAAAAATATTTACTTATACCTGAATCCTAATCCTAATCCTTTTATTTCAAGTTTAGTCTACAAATGTGGAAAATCCCTCCCCTTCGTAAATAGTACCTTAGCGCGACCAATTTTTGCTTTACATGATGTTCCTGTAATTCAGACAAAAAACACACCCTTGATAGGAATAAATCACATATCTACAGATGATCCCACGACAGAAAGAGGTACTTTAATTATTTGCATATAATAAATATAAGTATTTACTGAAAACTATTTAAGTACGGAAACAAAATAGATAATTAACTGGAAAGAATTAACTGTAGCCAAAATAGGAAAATTAATCAGTGAGTTTCACATCTTTCCGGTTTTGAACGGTCGAGGGTAAATTCAGGTGCCCCGGTTTTGTTTGCAATTATTATGGCTAGACAGGCACTGTGGGCTTGTGTACCAAAACTTATTTCCGTACAGTAAAAAGTAGAATTCTACGGATCGGTGCTGCATTTATTCATATTTTAGAAACTCACTAACAGGAGGCAGCATCTCCTGTTTTATTCTCACTTTGACTAGGCCGATATTTTGCTTCCAGACGGCGCCCTTAATATTAGTGAGTTAGTACATGGTACCACAGTATAGATATCAATCAGTAGAGACAGCTCGTGTCGGCGCCTTTGTTCTTTCTGACTCGAATTTTAAGCCATCATGGGTGGTCGTTGCCTAAACTATTCCTAGATGTCGCCACCCAATTTAAAAAGTATCACTTCATTTGCAGTTTCAAAAATTGATTCGTGTACGCAATTTATTGCAAAGTGTGTAGTTTGCTCAAATCGTATAATCGTGAATCGTAATAAGAAAAAAGAAAAGTCGATATTTAATTTATAAACACGATGATTTGTTACAGTTTTTATTTTATTACTTATACAATTTGACAGATCGCACATTCTTTCCCCGAATACTTGAAGTTTAATTATCATTGTAAAAATAATGTAATAAATACATATAAAAAAAAGAGGTTTATTTAAGAAAAAATAAATAAAATCAAAATTAAATTACAAAAATGGAAAAAGTTAATGCTGCCAAATTATTTCCTTTCTATAAATTTTTTCACCTTTGGCATTTGTAAATTTAAAGCTAGCATTTACAAATTTTAGTGCATAAAATAATCTCATACTAGCATACAAAGCAAGCAAATAATCGTATGGAAAGTTTTGGCATGGATGAACAAATGTAGCTTGCTTATATAAATTTAAAAATTTCAACAAAGTAGTTGTTTGTAAAATTATATTTTCAAAATTTTCACTAAAAATTTGCTCTAATTCACAAATGTAAAAAAAAGAAATTATCGTTTGGCATATATAATTTACCAAATAACTCGCAATTCTTCGTTTGGTAGGCTCTGAAATGTGAATATATGCTTATGTTGTCTAAATTTTTATGTTCATTTGCATATTTTTCACATTCACTACAACTATGTACTAATAAACATTTCCGAATTAGGTAGCCACAGATATATCTAATTGCGTTTTGTTCAGCTGTGTGAAAATGATAATCACAATCTTTTAAGGTGGTCTTTTGCATCGTGGTGACTGATTCTTCTTCATCAAAACGACGACCTACATTTAACTTAGAAATTTCTTCCATATCAGGCTCGCAGTTTTGATTACCTGTGTTCGTTTCATCAAAATAATCTTGTATGATTAATTTTCTAAAAGCCATTTGAAATTGATTAGATGTGAGGTTAATAGAATTTCCATTTTGTTTCCTAATCCATCCAAAACAGTTTTCTAGTGCGTCTTGGCAAAGGCGTCTTGTTAATATATAGTCAAACCCATTTTACCTAACAACTTAACCCGTAAGCGTAATATCATATAAAGTAAAATTTTTATCTAAAAAAAAAATATTACAAAAAAATGCATATTTGTCGGCTCACATAAAGTGCAGGTAAAATAAAACTCAAGATTGTGTAGGTCAAAAAAAAAATATATATATATACATGATGAATAAAAAAATTGTTTATTGAGAGAAGGTCTGCTTATATAATTTTTTGTTACGTGTAGTTTGTTTCTTATTATTTTTATATTTAATTTTACCACAACAACGGAATCATATATAATAAATTTTTATTATTTATTTCATAACCACCGTTCTTGTCCGTTTGCGACGACTTTTTAAACAAAAAGTGTGTTATGTTTACTATCTTTTCCAAGAATTCCAAACACGATGGAGGGAATAAGGCGCACAACACGGATCCCGTATGAAAATTCATCGGACATAGATTTTACCTTTTATTGTGAAAATTACATTTTTACACTATTTGTACAATTCTACCGGAAAAGCAGTCTTAAACAAGCAAAACCGGCAAAAATATTGTAACAAAACTGCCAAATTTCAAATATTTTAGACGTCAGTTGGGCGCCCTCATTCGGTCATAATGCGAACGACCACCCACGAAAACGGGTCACGAAAAACGGCGAGCTGTCTCTACTGACTGATATCTATACTGTGGTAATACATTCTGTGGTTAATACGATATCATAGGCAACCAGTAATACGATTGTGCTGTCATTGTAACGTTGGCACTACTTTTAATTTCCGTGTTGAGTTTATGTATACAAAACAATCAAAACTCGTAGCCCCCTTAAGATGTCCTCGGACTCCGACAGCAGCTTAGAACTTGAGGGCATCCGATGGGTAACGACCCCCATCTCGTCTCCACTAACTAACCCCCCATTTCGTAGGAGGATGACCTCCCCATTTTTCACTACCACAACCCGCTTAGCACCTCGCTCCAACTGCGCGCAGTAATCGACAACAACATAGCACTCCTGCAAGCCCTCCTTGACTCAGGAAAGAGCGTCAACATCAAGGACCAATGGGGTAACACGCCACTCCACGTAGCAGTCGTGAAGCAAAAGTACGTTCTTTTAGCCACTGCAAGTTTCAAACGCTTCTTTGTAGGAAAAAAGTCTTCGACTATCTCTTGACCCTCGACGACGTGCGGATCGACGCTGCTAATTTCGAGGGATTCACGCCCTTGATGTTCGCGATTATATACAGCCACAAGTACTACGCTCTGCACTTGATCGAAAAGGGGGCTGATTTGAACGTGAGGAACAACGCTGGTTCGTGTGCGTTGCACTTCGCTACGCGCGAGATTCATGTGGCGCAAGTGCTCATCGAGAAGGGGGCGGATATAAATGCACAGAACTGCTGCGGAAGGACGCCTTTGTATTCGGCTTGTGTTACACGTCAGTCGCAATTTGTGCATCTTATGGTGTATTTTGGGGCTGATCCGATGGTCACCACCGACGATTTTTTGCCGTTTGATGCTAGTGTGGAGTACGATCTGACGGATGTTCAGGAGGTTCTTTATTATTTTACGTTTGATGAAGGGTGCGAGGTTAGTGTGAAAACTATGACTGTACTAATGATGAAAGAGTCGCCGTTTTTTCAACCATTGATAGATATGTGTTCAATTGTGTATGATGAGAATGATTTGAGTTACTTACGTGTGAACTTACATTTAATAGAGCCTGAAACGTTTAAAATTTTTATAGATAAATACGAAAACGTAGTCCGGGATATGTTTACACAAGGTTACCCTCTGTTGTATATATTTGCTAAGTGCAGTGTTGAGAATAGTGAGCGATTTGTTTATGCTTTGTTTGAGAGTCGCTTACGTGATGATTTCATCCCCAATGTGGAGACGTGTTTGAAAAATTATATCCAGTTTGAAAGTGTGGGGCAAAATTTGTTAACTAGACTTATTTGTTATTTGTTAAGTTATGGTTGTGTAATTTCCACGTGTGATATGAATGCGATTTATAGGTGTTTTGGGTTTGGCGAATTATTTAAAATTCTGTTACACATGAAAATCATTGACCATGTGTGTTTTCCTGAAAATTTTGTCTCACCACTACGTGGAGCGGATACAGGGATTAATTATTTTAATTTAATGAGGCGAGGTAATGCTGATAACGAACTAGGAATGTTTCTAATACCCAGTTTGATTTATGATTTTGGGCTGAAATTTAATATTATTAACGAATTATCGCCTGAGACAATTACTTTAGAGTGTTTTGAGAATTTGATCAAATTCTTTACTCACCCACAACTTGTAAAATGTTGTAAATTTCTAGAACTAACAAAAAATATACCAAATGTGCCTTCATTGCTTGAACTGAGCAGAGAGTGCGTTCGCGAAAACCTGATCAAACACTATGGTATTAAAAACAACATGCAGTTTCATACTCTTCTCAATCACTTACCTGTGTATGATGACTTGAAGGCAATACTACGATACGAAAAACCCATATATAATTATTAAGTAGGTACCTAATGTTACAGAATTTATATTTTTAATATGGAAGTGCTAAAAATGTGAAATTGTGTATTCGTTTTCTTAATAAAACATTACCACGACACACCTTAACTTCACTTTTTTCCACATGCCTCATATCCTGATGCACCCTCAAGTTCCTCACTTTCGCCCAATAATCACAATACGAGCAATCAAACCACTCCTCGTCACAATGATGCGCCAACTTGTGGCTCTCCAAATGCGTGCGCCGCTTCGTCTTATATCCTTATATTTTCAAATAATACTTCACGAGACTCTTAAAACATGTTTAAAATGGTAAATTTATTGTTGTAGAGAAATATCGATTTCGCAATTGAGCTCCGCCCCTCGGTCTGACACCGAATGAAAAAAAATTCGTCACAATTAAGATCGGGCGGGCGGGCGGGGCTTATAGTTTGCATTTTTTTTTTCTTTAATATAAGTAGTCTTCTTTTCACAATAAGAAATTTAAAAAATATTTAAAATGGTAAATTCTTATAATCAAATATGGGTTTTGGAAATACGCTCCCGGCCTAAAGCAAAATTAAAACCCGTCAAAATAAAACACTAGGGATCCTAGAGATTCTTTCAAATTTTTCAAAAAATAAAACACCAAAGGCGCTCGAGATTCTTGCGTTTTCTTCAAACAATAAAATACCGGGAGTCCCCGAGATTCTTTCAAATTTCGGCAAAAACAAAACACTAGGGAACCTAGAGATTCAATCATCTTCTCCAAAAGACAAAACACCAGGAACCTTCGAGATTCTTGCAAATGTTTCCAAAAATAAAACGCCAAGGGCGCCCGAGATTCTTGCGTATTTAAAACACCAGGAGTACCCGAAATTGTTTCAAAATATTTTAAAATGAAACACTAGGCACCCTAGAGATTCTTTCAAATTTTTCTAAAAATAAAACACCGAAGGCGTCCGAGATTCTTGCATTTTCTTCAAACAATTAACTCCGCCCTTTATTGTGTTAGAGGGTATGTCATTTGCCAAAGTCAGTCTTATCTTGGCAAGTACATACTAGCCCCGCCCACCCGCCCTTTGTGTTCTTAGAGGGTATGTCATCTGCCAAAATAAGTTTTACCTTGGCAAGTACTAGCCCCGCCCACCCGCCCTTTATTTTTTGGGAGGTATGTCATCTGCCAAATTCAGTTTTATTTTGGCAAGTACAACTTAAAACATGTTTAAAATGGTAAATTTTTGTAGAGAAATATCGATTTTGCAATTACGCTCCGCCCCTCGGTCTGACAACGAATAAAAAATTCGTCACAATTGAAATAGGGCGGGTGGGCGGGGCTTATAATTTTCTTTGTTTTCACAATATCCGTAGTTTTCTTTTTAGAAAAAGAAACTTAAAACATGTTCAAAATGGTAAATTTTTGTAGAGAAACATCGATTTTACAATTATGCTTCAGCCCTCGGTCTGACAATGAATGAAAAATTCGTCACAATTAAGATAGGGTGGGCAGGCGGGGCTTATATTTTGTTTTTTTTTTTTTTTTCTTTAATATAGGTAGTCTTTTTTTCATAATAAGAAATTTAAAAAATATTTAAATTCCTAACTTCTTACAGTGAATTATGGATTTTGGAAATACGCTCCGCCCCTAAATCAAAATCAAAATCCGTCAAAATAAAACACTAGTGACCCTAGAGATTCTTTCAAATTTTTTCAAAAAATAAAACACCAATGGCGCCCCAGATTCTTCCGTTTTCTTCAAACAATAAAAACTAGGGATCCCCGAGATTCTTTTAAATTCCGTCAAAATAAAACACTAGGAACCCTAGAGATTCTTTCAAATTTTTGCAAAAATAAAACACTGAGGGCGCCCGAAATTCTTTCGTTTTTTTTAAACAATAAAACCCCTTTATTGTCTTCGAGGGTATGCTATTTGCCAAAATCAGTCTTATCTTAGCAAACACTAGCCCCGCCCACCCGCCCGTTATTTTCTTAGAAGGTATGCCATCTGCCAAAATCAGTCTTATCTTGGCAAGTACTAACCCCGCCCACCCGCCCTTTATTTTCTTGGAAGGTATGTCATCTGCCAAATTCAGTTTTATTTTGGCAAGTACAACTTAAAACATCTTTAAAATGGTAATTTTTTGTAGAGAAACATCGATTTTACAATTACGCTCCGCCCCTCGGTCTGACAACGAATAAAAAATTCGTCACAATTAAGATAGGGTGGGCGGGGGGGGCTTATATTTTGTATTTTTTTAGGTAGTCTTTTTTTCATAATAAGAAATTTAAAAAATATTTAAATTCGTAACTTCTTATAGTGAAATATGAATTTTGGAAATACGCTCCGCCCCTAAATCAAAATCAAAATCCGTCAAAATAAAACAGTTGGGACCCTAGAGATTCTTTCAAATTCTCCAAAAAATAAAACACCAAGGGCGCCCCAGATTCTTCCGTTTTCGTCAAACAAAAAAACTAGGAGTCCCCGAGATTCTTTCAAATTCCGTCAAAATAAAACACTAGGAACCCTAGAGATTTTTTCAAATTTTTCCAAATATAAAACACAGAGGGCGCCCGAAATTTTTCCGTTTTTCTCAAACAATATAACCCCTTTATTGTCTTCGAGGGTATGTCATTTGCCAAAATCAGTCTTATCTTAGCAAGTACTAGCCTCGCCCACCCGCCCTTTATTTTCTTAGAAGGTATGCCATCTGCCAAAATCAGTCTTATCTAGGCAAGTACTAGCCCCGCCCACCCGCCCTTTATTTACTTAGAGGGTATGTGATTTGCCAAAATCAGTCTTATTTTGGTAAGTACACGAAACTTAAAACATGTTTAAAAAGGTAAATTTTTGTAGAAAAATATCGCATTTATAATTACGCTCGGCCCCTCTATCTGACAACGAATGAAAAATTCGTCACAATTGAGACAGGGCGGGTGGGCGGGGCTTCTATTTTGCTTTTTTGTCTCTAATATAGGTAGCCTTTTTTTCGCAATAAAAAATTTGAAAAATATTTAAAATGGTAACTTCTTATAGTGAAGTATGGATTTTGGAAATACAAAATCAAAATCCGTCAAAATAATAACTAGGGACCCTAGAGATTCTTTAAAATTTTTCCAAAAATAAAACACCAAGGGCGTCCGAGATTCTTGCGTTTTCTTCAAACAATAAAACACTAGGACTCGTCGAAATTCTTTCAAAATCCGTCAAAATAAGACACTAACTCCTAGTGGGGGCACAACACAGTCTTCGAGAATACATAAGTAGATAGATTACTTGCTTGATTTGTAGTCGATAGCGTGATTGGATGCGTTTTGACATTTCGTACTTTCGCTTCTATTTTGTGTACATGCGCACAGACCCTCGGTACTCTTATATATAGACAGAAAACAACATCTTCTGTCTTTCTCTGTCCGTGAACACCGAGGGGTAAACCGCCGACCATCAAGTGTACAATTGATTTCCTTTTGACAATGATTTCCTGTTGATTTCCCCCGATTTCTTTTGATTTCCTTTGATTTCCTGTGATTTCCTATGATTTCCGGTGATTTCCTTTTGATTTCCTCAAAATTTGTTTGCATAATGTATTACAGGGCGATTGTTAACTTTTTTTTAACTTGACTTTTTTGTTTTGCCGATAATGATGTTGAATTTAAACCTTTTTTACCAAGTGTTTACTAACGTACGGTGATTAGGTAAGCTGAAGTGCTTTCCATTTAGACGAAAAAAATAAAAAATAAAATGTATTGTGCTGCTAAGCAACAAACTGAAATATTTAAGAAAAAAATCTGATTTTACTTACAAAAAGAACGCTACTCTAAAATCGAGGTTTTAGATGTCTAAATCAATAGATTAAGTATACGTTCGAATTTTACACTTTCTTGGGTCAAATGTTTGTTCTAAAAGTGGACATATGCAATATTCTAGATTTTTTGCACATTCAGTCAGAAAACCTTATGGTCTATTTTAATTTTGAAAATAAAAATGTCTGGTGTGTACAAATTAGTTCGTTTAAATCACTCAAAGATTTAATAAATTATATTATATATTATTATTAATTTTTTAATAAATTATATTATGAAATTTTGCTTTTGACTTAACATAAGGCCAAGGATACTTTTAGTTACGTCAGGAGTTTTTACTTATCAGTGACTCATAAGGCAACGACTGGCTCATACGTTTACAGAGGTAATTAATGAATACCAAATAGTCCAAAATCATTCTATTAGGTTCATCTCTGTGTTGCGCATACAAGATCATGTTAAAGTTTGACCTATTAAATCAAACTTATAATAATAACTTAAGTCATTACTTTTTAAAAATTGGGTTTATTCATTTATTATGGTAGCATAAACAGAAAAAACAAGTAGTTTCATTTATTTTATTAAATGTTAAAAAAAACGGTAACTCTAAACATAAAAGTAAAGCATTTCTGTTGGATCATAACAAAATATCACAAAATAAAACAACTTCTTAAAAAATACTTACCCTATAACCTGGGTCGAGATTTGTGTATATATTGTAGATGATGTTGAAGTAAAAAACTGTGCTAAATTCTAGCTATCCATAAATACAGATGATAACACTTTTAATTTTTTGTTCACAACTTTCAAATGAAGCATATTAGAAAAAAATTTTTGAAATGCAAAATTTAACACGTAAGAATTTTTTTTGCACAATAAAGGAGTGGATAACCCCACTTGATAAATTTTCAGAGGTAATTTTCCCCTTTAAAAGTGTTCATGGGCAACTAGAATTTTGCACAGTTTCTTACTTTAGTATTCTCTACGATATATACTTGTACAAATCTCGACCCAGGTTGAGGTTACATTATCACAAATTTTAATCACATCACTTAAAAAAAAAAACTAGAATTAAATCAAATATTTTTTCAATATTTTTTTTTCAAAAACTATACTGCCTCTTTTGAGTACCTGAGGTGGAGGTAGTTTCATTATATATTCATTTTCTTGGATCTCCCCCTGATCTTTAATGTCCGGAAACATAAAAGCATCCGGAATTTTTGGATTCCTTTTCAAAAAGTCACAAAAAATAGGGTTAAGTGATAACACTTTACCAATGTAACATTTTTTGTTTTGTTTTTGAGTTGTTAATTGTACTATAATATAATCGTCTATATTTAAGTCTGATTTAGAACGATCAGTCTTACTATTTTCAGCCTTGAGATTCAAACGAGGATTCAAATCATCAGAATAATTGGAAGAATTCGAACTTTCGGTGTCCGTGCTGTCATCATATTCAATACTAAATTTTGTTGTCTAAATCAGATGAGTCACTTGATATATTATAGCGTCTTTTTTGTTTTCCAATTTAGACTGGTTTTTGAATTTGAGATGCATCTTTATGTTGAAGACAGGTATCTGTTTCTGAGTTAACTGTACTACTTTTACATTTCTTATTTTGAATAAATTTTTTGAGACGATCCACACTGACGCGATCCTTTTCATTGTCTAACAGCAAGCAAAGTGAAGACTTTTTTATAACTTTTGTTGTATTATCTAAGCGTATTCTGACTAGATCACCTTTCTCAACAAAATTATCGTCAATATTAAAACTTCTAAGGTGTATGTCTGTGTCAAATTTCTTAGATTCGTACGAAATTGTGCAAAGATCATTCAGTAAATCTCCATCTTGGTCAACTGGATCGTTTTCCAAACTTTGAAATCTGTTACGTTTCATGGCTATTTGAGAATTGTTGTAATTTTCAATGTGATCGCACTGTTTTTCACTAAACATTTCATCTTCAACTTCGTCATTGCATTCATTGTCTTTACACGGAGGCAAAAATACATAGTTGAAATCTATCACTTTTATTCCTAAATCTTCAGTGTCACGCAGACAATCCCGTAAAGCTGATTCTACGGTGCTTTGTATATCTTTACCTGAAATGTTTCCTAAGTCATCATTTTTCACAAAATCTCTCTTCATGATTGAACTTTTTTTCTTGATTTCTCTAGGAAAAACGAATTTTTTATCCAAATCGTTTTTAATGTTGTTTATAGTTTGCAGTCTGTCACTTCGATGCAACATATCTCTTATACTAAAATTAACAATTGTGCTAAACGTTGAGGTCATTGATCTAAGGCTTCTAAACATACTCCCACAAGTTTGAGAGCTAAACTTCCAAGGCAAGAACATATCATCAGTAAGATTACTTTTTGAAAAATTTTAATTATTTTTATTAATGCGTGTCCATTGAGTTCAACGCATGTGTAACAATTGGAAGATAAAAAGTTATCTTTTACTGTATACTGTCTTTGGTCCTTAATCCATTTTTTCCATATTCGTAGGAAAAATATGCAATACCAAATGTTATATATCCTTTCTACAATAGATAACGTTTTGTCCAGGAATGCTGCCGATATAAGATACACTTGGACATACGATGTCAGATCGCTGTCACTGAAACCCATTTGGTACCATTCCCAGTTATTCAAATGATTTTCGTCGGATGAAATAGCTAGGCGAGAATTTAAACGCATCGCTTTGAGAAGTCGCGTTTTCTTGTTGATTTCTAGTTAATTTCTTATTGATTTCCTCTTGATTTCTCGTTGATTTCCTCTTGGTTTCCTTTTGATTTCCTCTTTGATTTCCTGTGATTTCCTTTAATTTCCTCTAACGTGTACAATTGATTTCCTCTGCGGTTTACCCCTCGGTGAACACCGTTTTTATGTTACTTCTGAAGAGTTAGCAATATAGTAAGTAGTATTAGATATGTGGGAAAGCAGAGAAAAATGTTGTGCCTCGGTGGGATTCGAACCCACGTCTCCACGCTCTCCGGGCTGGTATGCTAACCGCTACACCACAAGACAACTTATCTTTACTCTGCTTTACCCGCGTGTTATTGTGCCGCCACAGTACTCCCCCCCCAGCGACACAGCGCGCGGTCGTGCTGGGGTGCGAAGGAGATAGTTGCTGGCGTCGCTCCTACCACTCTTACGGTCGTTGTTCGAACCCTGGCGGTGCTGCGGACCCCGAACACAGCGGGCACAGGGCGGTGGCAGAAGGATGTTGCGTGCGCGTTGCCTGTCGGAGGTCACCAATGTGGGAAAGCAGAGAAAAATGTTGTGCCTCGGTGGGATTCGAACCCACGTCTCCACGCTCTCCGGGCTGGTATGCTAACCGCTACACCACAAGACAACTTATCTTTACTCTGCTTTACCCGCGTGTTATTGTGCCGCCACAGTACTCCCCCCCCCTTACCCGCGTGTTATTGTGCCGCCACAGATATATGTAATACCTAATCTTTTTTGAGACGAATAGCTAAGTACTGAGAGTAAGCTACAGTGTAGAAAATGATGGTAGCTATTTAAAATATGAGGGTTTCGGTGACCACGTGATTAATAAATGGCTTAATATTAAGGAGTTAGTACATAATGTGGTTAATTTAATACGATATTATAGGCAACCAGTAATACGATTGTGCTGTCATTCCAACGTTGGCACTACTTTTAATTTCCGTGTTGAGGTTATGTTTTCAAAACTCGTAGCCCCCTTAAGATGTCCTCGGACTCCGACAGCAGCTTAGAACTTCACGACATCCAATGGGTAACCACCCCCATCTCGTCTCCACTAACTAACCCCCCATTTCGCAGGAGGACGCCAGCCCCATTTTCAATTACAACGACCCGCTTAGCACCTCGCTCCAACTGCGCGCAGTAATTGAAGACAACTTAGCACTCCTGCAAGCCCTCCTTGATTCGGGAAAGAGCGTCAACATCAATGACAACTGCGGCAACACGCCACTCCATGTAGCAGTCCTGAAGCAAAAGTACGTTTTTTTAACCACTGCAAGTTTCAAACGCTTCTTTGTAGGAAAAAAGTCTTCGACTATCTCTTAACACGCGACGACGTGCGGATCGACGCTGCTAATTTCGAGGGATTCACGCCCTTGATGTTCGCGATTATATACAGCCACAAGTACTACGCTCTGCACTTGATCGAAACGGGGGCTGATTTGAACGTGAGGAACAACGACGGTCAGTGTGCGTTGCACTTCGCTATGGAGAAGATTTATGTGGCGCAAGTGCTCATCGAGGAGGGGGCGGATATAAATGCACAGGACTGCTATGGAAGGACACCTTTGTATTCGGCTTGTATTACAGGTCCCTCGGAATTTGTGCATTTTATGGTGTGTTTTGGGGCTGATCCGATGGTCACCAGCGACAATTTTTTGCCGTTTGATATTAGTGTGGATCACGATTTGACTGATGTTCAGGAGGTTCTTTATTATTTTACGTTTGATGAAGGGTGCGAGGTTAGTGTGAAAACTATGACTGTACTAATGATGAAAGACTCGCCGTTTTTTCAACCATTGATAGATATGTGTTCAATTATGTATGATGAGAATGATTTGAGTTACTTACGTGAGAACTTACATTTAATAGAGCCAGAAACGTTTAAAATTTTCATAGATAAATACGAAAACGTAGTCCGGGATATGTTTACAGAAGATTACCCTCTGTTGTATATATTTACTAAGTGCAGTGCTGAGTATAGTAAGCTATTTGTTTATGCTTTGTTTGAGAGTCGCTTACGTGATGATTTCATCCCCAATATGGAGACTTGTTTGAAAAATTATATCCATTTTGAAAGTGTGGGGGAAAATTTTTTAACTAGATTTATTTGTTATTTGTTAAGTTACGGTTGTGAAATTTCCACGTGTGATATGAATGCGATTTACAGGTGTTTTGGGTTTGGGGAATTATTTAAAATTCTGTTACACATGAAGATCGTTGACCATCTGTGTTATAGCCCATATTTTCTGTCACAACGACGGAGAGCGGATACAGGGATTTATAATTTTAGTTTAATGAGGCGAGGTAATGCTGATAACGAACTAGGAATGTTTCTAATACCCAGTTTGATTTATGATTTTGGGCTGAAATTTAATATTATTAACGAATTACCGCCTACGACAATTACTTTACAGTGTTTGGAGAATTTGATCAAATTCTTTGCCCACCCACAACTTATAAAATGTTGCAAGTTTCAAAAGTTAACGATAAATATACCAAATGTGCCTTCATTGCTTGAACTGAGCAGAGAGTGCGTTCGCGAAAACCTGATCAAACACTATGATATTAAAAATAACATGCAGTTTCACACTCTACTCAATCACTTACCTGTGTATGATGTCTTGAAGGCAATACTACGATACGAAAAACCCATATATAATTATTAAGTACCTAATGTTACAGAATTTATATTTTTTATATGGAAGTGCTAAAAACGTGAAATTGTGTATTCGTTTTCTTAATAAAACATTACCTTCATTGTTATTAATACATACTCCTAAACATTACCACGACACACCCTAACTTCACTTATTTCCTCACACAGCCAAATCCACATGCCTCATATCCAGATGCATCCTCAAGTTCTTCTTCACTTTCGCCTTATAATCACAATACGAGCAATAAAACCACTCGATTTCCTCATCCGGTACATGCCTCACCGTCACATGCCTCCCCAACAACTCTTTCCTCTTCGTCATAAAACTACAAAATTCACACTCAAACCACTTAATATCCTTCTCATCCGTATGATGCGCCAACTTGTGGCTCTCCAAATGCGTGCGCCGCTTCGTCTTATACTCGCACCGATCGCACTTAAACTTGAACGCCTTCTCCGAATTATGCTTATTCAAAATGTGCGTCTTCAAATAATACTTCACGAGACTCTTAAACTCGCAGTGCGGACACACGTACCACTTTTGATTCTCCGGATTGGCGTGGTTCATATTCACGTGCGTCGCCAAGTAGTACTTGCTCTTGGACTTGAACGCGCACTGCTCACAATGAAACCACTTGACGTCTTCGGGGGCCGTGTGCTTGTTGACTGCGTGCTGCTTGACGGCTTCTTTGAACAGCGACTTGTAGCTGCACTGCGAGCACTGGAACCAGTTGTAGCTTTCGTTATTCGTAGGGAGGCGGTTTTTGGACTTTGAGAGGTGCCGTTTGATGTGGGCGTTTCGTGATGGTGTTGGGTTGAAGGGGCTGCTTCGAGTGCATGTATCTGATGTGGTTCCACAGAGATATAAGGAGGTCGGTTTTGAAGATGCATTTGTCGCAGAGGTACAGGTCGGGAAAAGATTTGGCACAGTCGAAGTGGAGAAATTGCATTTTAGTGGTGGCGCCCATATCCATTTTGATTACGTTTCCTGATTAGAAATTCTTTCCTTGTTGGATACACGTCGTTGCGGGTGAATTTTTAACTTTTCGAGTTTGGCACTGATTTTTTTTGTGGTTAGGTTTGATCAGTGTGGCCAACAATTTTCGCTTGTCACACGAAATATTTACTAATAATAAATTAATGCAGAATTGCAAATTATTATTTTTAAATAGAAGTTTTTTGTAAACGTGCCAATTAAGTCGAGAGTTGACGGTGTGATAACCCAAACCACAGTAGCCCAAACTTCCCGTCTTTAAATTGACCTTGAAAAAGTTTGAAAGGCTCGCGAAAAATTTAAAAATTCAAAGTTTGGCCTTAGCTGTGATCGTCCAACAAATAGGAACCATTTTTCTTAATATACGCAGCCTTCTTTTCCCAACAAGAAATTGACAATATGTTTAGCTATTCTATTGTTGAAAGAAAATCCTATATATATAAAAAAAAAAACAAAAATTGAGCCCCACCCACCCGCCCCGATCTCAATTGTGACAAATTTTTCATTCGTAATCAGACCGAAGGGCGGAGTTCAATTGCAAAATCGTCATATCTCTACAAGAAATAATCATATGAAATATGTTTTTACATGAATATGTGTCTAAAAAATTCTACCTTTTTAAAAACATATCTCATATGGCAATTTCTTGTAGGGAAATCCGGATTTTGCAAACTAAACTCAGCCCTTCAGCTAATGATGAATGAAGCATTCATCACAATTGAGAAGGGGTGGGTGGGCGGGGCTTACATTTGGTCCATTTTTACTTCCCGAGCGTAAGCAAAGGAAGTATTGTAATCGAGTCCGCCGGCCGACTCTCTACTTTTACGTTTTCTCGATCTTTCATGACCCCTAGAAGACGAAGAAATAGGTCTCCCATTTCCGTCTGTCTGTCTGTCTGTCTGTCTGTCTGTCTGTCCGTCTGTCCGTCCGTCTGTCCGTCTGCCGTCCCGGATTTTTATTAGACAGATAATCTCCGAAAGTACTCGACCGATTGTTGTGAAATTTTGTACTTATATTAAGAATATCATGTAGATGGTAAAATGCTAACCAAAATTTGTCTAATCATCCCCACCACTAATGCGATGACGTCACTTCAAAATTGTACATAGTAAATGGGTTTTCAATTGTATAAAATAACATAGTCCTACACATGTAGTTTACAACTCTGAATCGACTTTTCACCCGAAACGTCCAGATTTTTGGAAAAAAAAAATCAAAATTATAAAACAACATTTTGAAATTTAATTTTTAATCTGCTAACCAGAATGCTTTGAAATGTTGCAGATGTCTTAAGGCTATAAAGAGCATCATAAATCTTTAGTCAAAAAATATTTGCTTATCCCCTCCAAAAACTTGATGACGTCAGCTCAAAAGTTTGTGGAATAAATCATATCTAAAATGTACAAAATATGATGAGTCTGTACTTGTGATCTATCACTCCATTCATATTTTTTGGATTTGCATATACAGGGTGACTCAAAAAAATTAATGAATGCGTAAATTTATTTTACTGATTTACTCAGAAACTACAAAACCGAATGCTTTGAAATCTTGCAGATGTTTTAAGGTTATAAAGAGCATAATAAACGTTTAGTCAAAATATATTTGCTTATCCCCTCCAAAAAATTGATGACGTCAGCTCGAAAGTTTGCCGAATAAATCCTATCTAAACTGTAAAAATATGATGAGTCTGTACTTGTAATTTATCACTCCATTCATATTTTTTGGATTTGCATATACAGGGTGACTCAAAAAAATTAATGAATGCGTAAATATATTTTATTGATTTAATCAGAAACTACAAAACCGAATGCTCTGAAATCTTGCAGATGTTTTAAGGTCATAAAGAGCATAATAAATGTTTAGTCAAAATATATTTGCTTATCCCCTCCAAAAACTTGATGACGTCAACTCGAAAGTTTGCCGAATAAATCATATCTAAAATGTACAAAATATGATGAGTCTGTACTTGTCATTTATCACTCCATTCATATTTTTTGGATTTGCATATACAGAGTGACTCAAAAAAATTAATGAATGCGTAAATATATTTTATTGATTTAATCAGGAACTACAAAACGGAATGCTCTGACATCTTGCAGATGTTTTAAGGTTATAAACAGCATAATAAATGTTTAGTCAAAATATATTTGCTTATCCCCTCCAAAAACTTGATGATGTCAGCTCGAAAATTTGCCGAATAAATCATATCTAAAATGTACAAAATATGATCAGTCTGTACTTGTGATCTATCACTCCATTCATATTTTTTGGATTTGCATATACAGGGTGATTCAAGAAAATAAATGAAAGCGTAAATTTATTTTACTGATTTACTCAGGAACTACAAAACCGAATGCTTCGAAATCTTGAAGATGTTTTAAAATTATCATAAGCATGGTAAATTTTTGATCAAAATGTATTTGGTCGTCCCCCCTAAAAAATGTATGACGTCACCACAAAATTTTGCTGAATAAATCATATCTAAAATGTACAAAATATGGTGAGTCTCTTCTTGTGATTTATCATTCCATTCATATTTTTTAGATTTTCTTAAGAGGTGGTTCAAAAAAATTAATGAAGTCAATTTATTTTATTGATTAAATTAAAGGCAACACTTATTATTAGTATTACACCCCAACCAACCCAATTTGGTAGACACAAAATTTGTTAAAGGAAAAACTCGGTTGAAACATAAGGGTAGCACGCTTATTTACATCGACTTTAACATTACAGACCTGCATTTGTTTTATGCGCTCACTTGGTTCCGCTAATGTGGAATAGACATGTTTATAATCAACCAATTGTGAATTTCACCGTCAAGAATTAAAATAAAACCCAATGTTTTATATAATAAGCGGAAGTCGAAGCAATAAAACCGATGGTCGTTTTGTTTACAGTTTCTCTGTTTGGCTCTCACGTATGCTGTTACGCTTGTCATCTTAAATTAAGAATGTTTATACATAAACGATTTTCAGTTGCCTTTCATATTAGATTACACACCGGCGCCGTATACGTGAGTAAATTGTTTCGTTATTTTATTGATTATAAGAAATCAATATTCAAAACGACCCAATTCATTTTCCCGAAAATTTGGGAATACAATAATTTTATTCTTAGTATTACACTGCATCTATCCCAACTGATATACGTGTCCTTGCAAAAATGTTGATGACGTCATCACATTTTTTTTTTAAATTCCCACTACAAAAATGTAATGAGAAAAAAAAACACAAGTCGTCAAGTTTCCGACAGCGAGGGAAGTACTGTCTAAACTCTTTAGACCAATTTTTTCTTAATATATGCAGCCTTCTTTTCCCAACAAAAAATTGGCAATATGTTTAGCTATTCTATGGTTGAAAGAAATCCCTATACGTAAACAAAAAAGGAAAATTAAGCCCCACCCACCCGCCCCGGACTCAATTGTGACAAATTTTTTATTCGTAATCAGACCGAAGGGCGGAGTTCAATTGCGAAATCCTCATATCTCTACAAGAAATTATCATTTGAAATTTGTTTTTACATGAATATTTGTCTAAAAAATTCTACCCTTTTAAAAACATATGTCATATGGCAATTTCTTGTAGAGAAATGAGGATTTTGCAAACTAAACTCCGCCTTTCAGGTCATGATGAATTAAACATTCATCACAATTGAGAAGGGGTGGGTGGGCGGGGCTTATGTATGATCCATTTTTTCTTAATATACGCAGCCTTCTTTTCTCAAAAAGAAATTGACAATATGTTTAGCTATTCTATTGCTGAAAGAAAACCCTATATATGAGAAAAAAAAAACAAAAATTAAGCCCCGCCCACCCGCCCCGATCTCAAGTGTGATGAATTTTTCATTCCTAATCAGACCAAAGGGCTGAGCTTAATTGCAAAATCCTCATTTCCCTACAAGTAATTATCATATGAAATATGTTTTTACATGAACATTTGTCAAAAAAATTCTACTCTTTAAAAAACATATCTAAAATGGCAAATTCTTGTAGAGAAATGAGGATTTCGCAAACTAAACTAAGCCCTTCAGCTAATGATGAATAAAGCATTCATCACAATTGAGAAGGGGTGGGTGGGCAGGGCTTATATTTGATCCATTTTTTCTTAATATACGCAGCCTTCTTTTTCCAACAAGAAATTGACAATATGTTTAGCTATTCTATTGTTGAAAGAAAACCCTATATATATATATATATATATATATATAAATAAAAGAAAAATTAAGCCCCACCCACCCGCCCTGATCTCAATTGTGATAGATTTGTCATTCGTAATCAGACCGAAGGGCGGAGTTTAATTGCAAAATCGTCATATCTCTACAAGAAATAATTATATGAAATATGTTTTTACATGAATATTTGTCTAAAAAATTCTACCCTTTAAAAAACATATCTCATATCGCAAGTTCTTGTAGAGAAATTCGGATTTTGCAAACTAAACTCAGCCCTTCAACTAATGATGAATAAAGTATTCATCACAATTGAGAAAGGGTGGGTGGGCGGGGCTTATATTTTGTCCATTTTTTCTTAATAAACGCGGCCTCCTTTTCCCAATAAGAAATTGACAATATGTTTAGCTATTCTATTGTTGAAAGAAAACCCTGTATATAAAAAAAAAACAAAAATTAAGCTCCACCCACCCGCCCCGATCTCAAATGTGATAAATTTTTCATTCGTAATTAGACCGAAAGGCGGAGTTCAATTGCAAAATCCTCATATTTCTGCAAGAAATTATCATATGAAATATGTTTTTACATGAATATTTGTCTAAAAAATTCTACCCTTTAAAAAACATATCTCATATGGCAAGTTCTTGTAGAGAAATCCGAGGAAAAAGCGTCTCGGTGATATAATCAATCTGTAGCGTCGTGAGGCATGCCTTGATAAATTAATCAATCTGTAGCGTTATGATGGCATGCCTTGATGAATTAATCAATCTGTGACGTTGTGATGACATACCCCGATGAATTAATCATGAT